AACGGTTACCCCCGACTGAAACCTTCACAACACTACTCAGGGTGATGACCTTAACAACGTATTGTAAATATTTACCTTGATCTTAAGATCTATCGAAACAATAGACTAGATGATTAAAATAAAGTACACAGCACTGGTGATCATTATATGTTAACTCGGTTACTTCGTATAAATATTAATAAACCACACTAATAAATGAGATTTGTTTTTGTACCAAATTTAACTTATTTTAATTTTTGTGAAAGGTGTCGTTATTCGTTGATAGTCTTCGGTGATAGGCACCGCACAGTGGTCCAGAATGAAAATATAGCAGCTCAATTGGTGAAAAACAAACTCTTATCTTTCAAAAAACTCACATCAACTTAATTAACCATGGAAGATATGTTCCATGCGTTATTGTGTGATAGGCACCGCACAGTGGTCCAGAATGAAAATATAGCAGCTCAATTGGTGAAAAACAAACTTTTATCTTTCAAAAAACTCACATCAACTTAATTAACCATGGAAGATATGTTCCATGCGTTATTTTTCTCCTCAGATCCATTCATATAAAAAATTCAGGCTTTCATGACAATGTTAAGAACACTGTTAGTGAAAGATGACGTCATTGAAGAGGATTTCTGAAACTCATAAAAATGTGTTCGTTCATCTACTTCTATTTGAATAAAATGTACAAGTTTCAAAATTATGGATTGCTTCAGCTGTGTAATTTATTGGAGTATTGTCATTAATTGATAAAATATTATTGTCAGATTCTCTAAAGACAACCGTACCAACTAAAAATCGTGTAGAAATTCTGCACTATTTCTTATATTTTATTAAAGACCGCAAAAATATGTTGGAAAGCTCTTCGTTACAAACAACTATCAATAAAAGCTTGCAAATTTATTTGATCCACTGCACATATGTATGTACAATGTACACACGTTCGATGCACAGAATGTTTACTGTTGAGGCTTTATTAAAATTGACGCAGTTCAGACAAAAATGAAATACTACGCAGTCGAATTCCTCACCCCAATGATATCACGTTGTTCATGTTTAAAATAGATAGGATGTACGAATAAAAATCGTCGGCTATACATACCTGGGATGCATTCAAAAAACACAAAACACTGGGAACAATTATAAATAATGTATGGTGTCGTTACTTTCACAGAATAATGGAGTCTGAAGTCCCGGGTGAGGATCATTAAAGATTCATTTTGGACACAGCTCTTAATCAGCGAGGAATGCTACAATAATACATACATTTGCATGCGGTGCGTGTACACGGGAAAAAGGGAGGAACTTCCAGACAAAGATTGAAATCTGGAAAACAGAGGAGAAGCCACGCATAGAAACACAGAGGGTGATTTTTTTAGTGAAATAAGAATTTCACGGATAAACTACCACACACAAAGAAATAAAACGACTATTAACATAAAAAGTTGATGACGAAATTTTACCATTTTTAAGTAACGGGTTGTTTAATGAAACCGCTTGCAAGGTCTACTAGTTTGTGAATAATTTTTTCCAACTGTGCGAACAAATTATTTTAACATTAATAAGATTTGTCATTAATGTCTCTGCAGAAAGTCTAAATCAAGAATTGAAGACCATAAAAGTAAGAAAATTTGAGCTATTTGACAGACAACTCACTCTGTATAAAAGATATGTAAGAATTGGTTGTTTCACTAGTTCTAGGTTAATTGTTTAAAGGAAACACTGCTGTGTTTGAAATGTTAGCATTTAATAAATATAAGACTCGGATATTTGATAATTTTTTAACGCTCATTGATCCAATTCATGGACTTGAAACAAACTTTTTCTTCAGAAATCAATCCTTTATAGAGAAAATCTGATCATTTTAAATCTGAGCTACTTACGGATCGGAAGGTAGACTCTACCATTCGGAATTTTGTTGTTTGAATTGATCGTACGTTTTGTGCGTTACACATATTTGATGAAACATAGAAGATACACCGGAATCGTGGCTCACTGACAACGCAATTCAATTAGACTGCCGATTAATTAATGTGAGAAGCGTCATGCATTCGTGCATTTGAGTTCAAGGCGAATAAGAGGAGAATTTCTAATCGTCTTATACATGTAGTCTTTCTAAGAAGTGACGTGGATATTTCTTACGCTCAATTATTCTACATTTTACTTGTAAATAAAAAAATAAATTTTTCTTAGGTTATAAATCCACTGTAAAATAAATTTCTACATCAATATAATATTCTTCCTTATTTTTCAATTAAACTTTTCACGTAATACATGAAGTACTATGTACTATGAATGATCATGTTATAAGGAGAGAGCTTATTAACATAAAATTACACGAATTTTTTACACAACAGCGCTTCTGTATGAAAAAATAACTTCTATTTAAAACAAATTTTTTATATTTTACGTGCAGATGAAAGTATCATTCAGTAAAAACAATAAGACACAAAAGGATCAATACATTGAAAATTCTTTTATAAAATCTCCAAAATGGTGTCACATATTTGAAAGTATGTATTTGCTACGTTTTTAATATTATTTTAACTGTAGCACAAGATGTTTTAAGTTACTGATACACAAGAGTATAAAAAAATCTTTCTGCGCATTCAATGAATTTAAAACAGCCTTTTTCAATATGTTTTCTCTGGTATATTATGTATAAAAAAATACTACAAATGAAGTTAGGTACTATTAGTTTTCAAAGAAAATGCAATAATTTAAATGCTGTTCCTTTTAAGAATTAATCAGTAGCTTTCTATTGTCAATGTCGAAATTCTTTTATTTTCGTAACTCTGATCCTTAATTAATTACAGTATATTATACTGTTCAACAAAATTTTGAAATTTCTAAAATAGTGAAGTGAAACTGATTTTATTTACTTGATTTTGAATTGCTGAATACAATGGTAATCTTACTTTGGTCCTAGAAAACTGGCTCTGCAAATTACGATTACTTAATGACCAACTATTGAAATTTTATTCCTTTATGAAAAATCAAGTTTTCTCGGATGCCATTGTAAGTGACCCTTGAAAGACGGAACTGGATAAAGAGAGACATTAAGGAACGAATCTTCGACATGAAGACCGGCGGATTCGAATATTATTCACACTCAATTTAACTTATTGAGAGCGACTAAAAGTTGTTTGATGGCCCCGACTACAATAGCGTAACAATTAATCGCTGAATGGATTATCTCAATGCTCCGTAATTTCCCGTCATTTATCAAAGCCATCCGACGGACGATTCTGGAAAACACATTCGCCACTGACTCTTATTAATTCTTTTAAATTATTAGAAATATTGCACTTTCACATTATTGAATTGCTTTTTTATTTAGTTGTTAGATTACGTAAAAATGAATTTATTTTATCCGTGCATTATTCAAACAAAAATTGTAACTTTCGTCGAACGTATAGAACTCACGGTAATTTTATATATCTATCAATATTGTTAGACAATAAGAAGTATGTAACATAGAAACTTAATTTTTATTAACTATAGTAATGTCTCGATAAGTGCGATGTACTCGGGTCCACTTCGGAGCATTCGTGGCAAGGCGGAAAGGTTTTCAGCCCCTCATAAATTTGTTTTTTGCCAGAAGCCGAGCTTCTGCTTAGCTTCTATTTGCTGTTTTTATTGGTTCCACAGAGAGACTCTCCCAGTGGTGGGAATAACACCGTTGCTCGTGTCGCTTTCATCCAGTAATCACTGTATTTTTAAATAAATTTTTACTGTATTTTTATGAATTTATTTATAAATGTTAAATTTCATTGCAAACAATTTTACTTTTACGCTATTTCTAGATAGGTAAGTGAAAAGAAATGTATCTGCTGACTTAGGGAGTGCTAATGAAAGGAAAATAAAAAGATGAACAATACTTAAGAACACTATAATTTTATTTATTTGTACGCATTTGTATTACTATTTTTATAAACAGCTTTACATAACTGACGATATGTAGAAACTAAAAATGTAATGTAGCAACATTATCTGTTTATCATAGTATATATTAGCTTCGAATCTGTTTTATATCACGTTATTTGCGAATAAAGCAACATTAGTGATCTATAAATTCTGAACATGTGTTCAGTACTACACGTCTTCTTAACCCAAGTTTTGTGTCATGTTTAACAAATGGCTACGTTAATGTTAAACTACTTGTAACATGAAAATCATAATATAAAAAATTAGAAATGTATTGTACAATTTTTATATAAAATTTCTAATAGCAATTCTTGTAAAATTTTTTTAAGAAGCTTTACAATGACAAAATCTCATTTTAACAAATACGATATGTGATTTATGTTAAATGCATAAATAATTTATTAATTTCCAGTGTTTAGTGAACTACAAATACGTCAGTGTAAGGATAATTCAAAGTGTCGAAATTCACTAATTTATTTTAAAATAAATTCTTACTCTTCGTTGACTCTTCTTATATTTATTAGCGAACTTTAAAAATATCGAAAATAAAGAAATGAAAACGCAGACGCGACTTAAAATGTTTAAATTACAATTAAAATTATACTACTGACTCGCTGTAGCGTAAAGAACTATACAAGATTTCTTACTGCAGTTCAACAGTCACACTAACTTGTTTTACATTTCACCGTAGAGATATCTTTTAGTTAGAATTTGTAAAAGAATTAGGAATTTTGTATATTTTTTACGTATACGATCAATACCACTAAGAATCAAACATAGTAAGTTATTCATGTCATTCAAATCGCGCCAATTTCATATTGGAAAATATTTCACATAAAATATATAAAAATATATAGAGTGATAAGATTAAGTGAGAATCTCGTAAATACACTTTAAGTTTCTTGCCTTTAACTTAATAGCGAATTTCATTCAATAAGACAGTAAAGTAATTACATCATAAAAACTACAAGAACGTATTTAAATATATATTACGCACTGGGTATTATTGATTTTACATTATCATTAGAGGACTATGAACAATCCTCTGACGAGCAAGCTATAGCACATAACAATAATGGTACAAAAGTTCACGTATTTTGTACTAAACTTAACCAACTTCGACCTTCAGCGGCGACTGACGTTGGGAATCGAATCTGGACTAATCGAACCGCATTCTTCTCATCTCCGTCCACTTCTTTGTACTCTGAGGTAGCTGGTACAACAATTGTTTCTCCGTCTTCGCTTTCGTTATAATTATACACTTCCTCCACTTGCTCTGTATCTTCCTCTTTACACTCGATTCCTTCGTTTTCCACAAAATTCATCTACAAATTCAGAATTTGAAAAGTCTAAATAATATAAATATAACACTGTAAATAGGTTATTTTAATTATCCTTATAGGCGCTAAATATTGCATGATTAAAGGGTACAATGCACAATATTAAATCAGCAATATGTACCTCTCCATCAACGAGATGACCAACTTCTTCGTCCGCTACATTTTCCTCGGCAGAAATGTTTAATACATCTTCTTCGTTATAAATCTGATCCTCATTTTGTTCCTGTATAATAACGTGGTCTTTTAAGTCTGTTACATACAATTCGGTCTCCTCTAACTGGAATATGATGAAAATGTAAAAAAAAATTATTTCAGTTTCTTCATTATAATGAATATAATCTTGGAAAAAACAAAATACATTTAATTACCTGATCATTTTCAGTTTCATCCATTAGCAGTTCCACATTACCCTCGGGAATTGTTATAACTTGGTCGTCTTCAGTAGTGAGCCGTGGTTGATTAACTACAATGGTATCATTCAAGTGGCCCTAAAAAAGCATAATGAACATCGGCATTAATATCATCGCACGAATACAGAGTATTATTATCTCGAGGTAATGCATCAATTCACCTGAGTTTGCATATGAGCGTACAACAACGGTTTTCTCATAAAACCCATACCACACACTAAACATTCATACGGCTTCTTGTCACTATGTATGAATCGATGTGCATTCCTATTGTCTCTACTATTAAATGCTTTACCACAAACCTAAAATTCCAAGATACCGTGTCAAATAAAATTATTATGAGCATTTCAAATAATTAAATTTATATAGTACGCACCTCACAGAGGTATGGTTTTTCTCCTGTATGTATGCGCATATGCTTTTTAAAATGTTCAGGATAAACGAACGTTGCTGTGCATATTTCGCATTTGTACGGTCTTTCACCAGTGTGCGCCGCTTTTATATGGTAGTCTAACAATCTTCGTCGCTTAAATCCTTTTCCACAGTCGTCACATTTGTACCGTTTATCATTGTAATGCGTTGCACGTTTATGAGATTGTAAATTCGACCTTTGACTAATGAGTTATTTTAAGGTAGTAAAATATTAATCGTCATCGTGATGAATAATAACATGAACGTACCTAAATGTTGCTCCACAAAATTCACATTGGTATGGTTTCTCTCCAGTGTGTGTCCTTTCATGATCTCTTATTTCAGCTTTACGAGCAAACGCTTTGCCACACATTCTGCATATGTATGGTTTATAACCGGTGTGTACTATATTGTGAACCTCTAAATTATGTGGTGAGCCAAACGCTTTTCCTACAAATTTTTATAATTTCCATAAACAAGAACATCTAAATAAAAGGAAAAAGAAGAAACAATCGAATAAATCATACCACATTGATGGCAAATATATTCCTTTACACCATTGTGAGTTCTTTCATGCTGATTCAGATTTTGCTGGCTCAAAAATGATTTACTACATTGCGAACATTCATAAGGACGAGGTCGAATTTCATGTGTTTTTATATGTGCTTTGTACGTGTATTTGGAAGCAAAGTCTTTGCCACAATTCTCACATACATAAGGACGTACTCCTGTATGTGTGTTGATGTGTTCCTCCAATAAGTTCCTAGAGCTGTAAAAATAATAAAAATTATGCCATAGTAAGAATTCTACCGAGTATAATGTAGAAAGTATATTTCATACATACCTATATCTTTTACCGCAAGTATCACATGGCCAAGATTTCACTTGCGGATAATGTATTCGTTTATGAATCCTAAACAAACGTAGATTACTAAATATTCTGTTACATATTTCACACTGAAAATCACCATCTTCCTTAGCAACGTGATCATCGAGATGAAGAGACAGCTCATTCCTCTTTCTAAAATCGTCTCCGCATATGTCACAGATGTATAAACGAGTTTCATGTACACTCCTCATATGTGCAATAATCGTCTTTGCATCCCCAACAGCTTTATCTTCTTCAATTGTACATAATAAACAAGTATATATAGAACCATCTCTAGTTACAAGCTGAAAGGAATTGGATAATGTAGAACATTGTTAAATAAATATAATAAACATAGTCAAATTAATTCCTCACTTGTTCTTGTATAACTTCAATTTTGGCTGGAACTTTTGATCGTTTTATCCTTCTTTTTTCTTCAGTATTACTTGTTTCAGGCATTGGTTCAATTTTAAGAATAATCTCTTCTGATTCACAAGAGGGTTCCTCTTCTTCTTCTTCTTCTTCTTCCTCCTCCAATCTTTCTTCCTCTCCTTCCCCTTCTTGAATTTCTTGGTCATCCTTCAAATAAGTTGTATAACATTAAAATAATACAATAACATGTACTTTAAACATTGCTTTTGTCATCTAATTATATGATACTTACTTCTTTCTCTGCATACTTCATTTCCATATCTGTGCTTTGACTTTCTATATTCTCTACATAATCATGATCATTATATTCCTCTTCATATTGCATATCAGATATTTTCTTTATAGTTTTTTTATAATTGTTAAAGAGTTCTAGTTTCACCTCTGTCAACCTACTTTCTAATTCATCAACCTAAAAATTTTATTGATCTTGCAACTTACTACTATTTTGGTATAACTATAACAAGACATAGGAATTAATATCTCATTTATCTTATTTACCTCATTAAATAATTTATAGCATTTTTTACACACAACAACAGAATGTACATTTTCTTCATTCAGATCTGTTTCTAAGATAGTACAAATGATATCTATAAGTGGCTTCTCTGACGATGTAAAAGAATTCTCATTAAATATACGTATACTATTTCTAGTAGATACGCCAACTTTACTGTTACATATTAAACAGTGTGTGTTATCTTTCTCTAAATCAGCAGTCATCTTTTCGGCAACTGCAAGAATAACATATTCTTAAAAAGAAAGCCCAAAACTTCATTGCCAATTATTAAATATAAAACCAATTAGAGTGGACTACAAAATTTAATATCAATCATTTCCATTGGTTTTATTCAAATCAATTCATGCATAATGAATAATATAGTCTTAGGAGAAGACAAATGTCTTCAAAAGACTTATAATATAATATCAAGGGATTAAAGTAAAACTTAGCATGCATTCTATTATACCATTAGCCTACGAATGAACGACGTCTGTGATACTTGGCATTTCGCGGAATGAATTTCGATTCTCATCATCAAATTATATGGATAGAATCGAGCTTTACGAAATTCGGGTTATTAGAATGGTCACTTCTTATGTAATAGCACAAAGTGTGCGCCGTAAATAGGGAAGTATCCACCGTCGTACAAGCATAGTGTATCGTCGAACAATAACGCATCCGACGATTCACTCTGCGAAACGAGGGAACGACAAATAACGCAGCTGGGCGACCGCCGAGCAACGTTAACGCAGTATACAACGAAGCATTCTGTTTTTCATTCGTCTCAACAAGTAACCGCTAAAATCCAATAACCCTAACAATAACGTGCCCGGAGGTACGGTAAACAAAATATTTGCCTGTGTTCATCGTCGAAATGATGCGCGTTATAATAAACGTAAAAAGTTGCCAGCACTGACTTGAAATTTTCGTTTCTCTGTTCGAACGATTGGCAGCGAGCTAAACGACAGACGAGTCTTGATACCAACGCCATTTAGGCCCTCATGACAGATTTGGATGTTGGTCGCGATTCGCAATTAGTCTGGATCAGTCGCAATGAAAGCACCACGAAAACCACGCGATAAAATCGTTGCCACTTTTCGGAACCTGGACGTGTATTTAATGTTAGCTTCGCCTCAGGTGGAGGCACACGATTGCGTATGCACGCATCGAATGCCCTCTATCGGATAGTTTTTACGTAGCCATCTTTCACGGAAATTTTCAATATTCCTGAATCACGTGAACTTTTAAAAAGATCACCATAACTGTTGTACAAATTTTATGAAATTATCATAATTTTACTTGATCATATAAAGTACTCCTTTCAAAGTAGTTAGATAGGTAATCAAATACACCTCAAGATAGTAAATAATTCATAAAATATAATACGTTTCGTAATACATTTTTATTAAATTACCGATGACAATGGAAATTCATATAGTTTAAAAATATAGAATTCTTTTCTCCTTATTCGATGCATAAGCTTAAGGACGTACTAATTGTTCTTAGAAAAATAAGTTGTTGGTCGAGTCGTAGAAGCAATAAGTATTCTATCTCACTCTATCAAAACGTTCTCATAATCCAATCAGAACACTTTATTTCTGTTTACTTTTTTTTTATATAGACCGACTTTTAAATTGCAGTATAGTTTATGAACCAGTTTATTTGAATATATATTGCCGCGCGCAACACTGGTGTCAGAAGTGGGATGATTCAGATCCCTACCGATACTCAGACAGCGAGCGGCGATTTTTTGAAACGAAGAATGCTGGCCTTCGAAACACAATAGAAAAGTGAATGAATGATTTTTGCCATGTTTCAAGGGCAGAAATGGATCAGAGGATAGCTGATATGATTTTCTGGAAGTTTCGAGGACCGAAATGCAACGAAAGTCTATCGAAAATCAGGCTATCGAAATCAGAAGGTCTATCAAAATTAAAAATTAGATTAAATGATAATAAAAGTACTGATATAACAGTAACATAACAATAATTATTTACAAATATACATATACATTTGTTTTAAAAATTATTATTATCGTCATTAAAAAAAGATATTATTTCTTCAATATCATTATTAACATTATCTATGTCCTTGTCACTTTCAGATTGGTACATTTTAAAATTAACCCTTGAAAACATATTTTGTGTTGATTCGAATGTTTTACATTTTACAGCAAATAGAATTCGTACCAAAATAAGCTTTTATAAACATTGTCATTTTGTTTCTTAATTTTGCTTTAACAACATTCATTATAGAAAACCTTTTTTCAGTTGGCGCGTTGGAGGAAGGTACACTACGAGCAAACTCGGCTTCCACTAGGGGAAAAAATAACGT